TATCCATCCATCCATCCATCCATCCATCCATCCATCCATCCATCCATCCATCCATCCATCCATCCATCCATCCACCATTATCTTTTACCCGCTTCTTCCATTTTGGGTCACGGGGGTCGCCGGTGCCCATGTCCAGCAATCACTGTGTGAGGGGCGGGGTACACCCTGGACGGGTCTCCAGTCCATCACAGGGACACAGAGACAAACGAGCCAAACAAACATTCACTCTCTCTCTCTCTCTCTCTCTCTCTCTCTCTCTCTCTCTCACCTAGGGGCAATTTAGTTACCAATCAGCCTAACATACATGTTTTTGGTCTGTGGGAGGAAACTGGAGTAACACACAACTTCAAAAAAAATTAAACAACAATTGGGTGCACTTATTTGAAGCCTCACCTTGGCTCCTCCAAACATATTTGGAATTGCAATCCAAAAATTAAATTTTACTCACCTATTCATAAAACCTTTCTCTAGAAGGCATTTGGCTTGTCCATGTCAACAGTTGCAAAGTTCAGTTGAGCTTGAACATGTCTTTTTGGAAGCAGGATTTTGTAAGAAGCGGGTAAAGATAACGGATGGAGGGACAGGCACCCACTCAGTTCATGGGGATGAACCATGTAAAAGCTAACGGCAGACTTGATGGCTCCTAAATGTTCCTGAACATGCTAACCGATCTATTTTCATCTGAGGGCAACAGATGACGATTGGTTGATCCAATAGTAACTGTCAGAAGAAAAAAAATCAAGCAGCGAATAAGAAACTACCTGCTAGAATCAGTTTGCATCACTAATGAGGAGTTAATAGACATCGCCTGTTGAAAAAACATTGAAGCACCTTCAGCATCTCATTAAAAATGTACATGCATGTACAGTACGTATGTATATATTTGAACATGTACGTATAACTTTGACCTTGGGTGGATTAGAAAAAAATAGGTGATAAAATTCAAGCTTGTGCACCCAGTCCTTTTTTAAAAAACACTGACGTTTTGTTGCATAATCAAATGAAAATGACATCCTTGCCCACAATAGATGTATGTAAACTTATGACCGTCAACTCAAGAAATCGTGTACCTGTTTTCCACTAGTCAATTTGCATGAAAATGATTCAAATCCTGTAAGATGAGCATTCATATAATCAAGTAAAAACATGTTGAAATATTTTTCCATTTGAACCAACTTTCATTAAAGCTTGTTCAGGCCTATAAGCCACATTTTTTGTCAAAATAAAGTAGCTTGATCATAAAATTATTTGTCTAGGATTTAATAGATTAAAAGCAGAACTGGTCAAACAAGATTTTTAATTTATTTTTTTTTAATTAACCCAAGCTGACAAAAGTCAAAGTATTTTTGGGACAAGATGTATTTCTATTAAAATTGGTTGCTACTAACGATTCTTGCACTAGATGTCTTCAAATCTCACACACAGGGTCATGAAAAGTGAGATTAAGCTCCATTTTTGCTGCTTACCTGGAAGTAAAAGAAGGCTTGGCCAAACCAGTAGTGCATGATGGTGGTCTGGGCTGCGTCATAATGGAGCTTCTTCCAGATAAACTGAGCCATTAGTGTCTGGATCAAAAGGCAGCAGCAGAGGACTGGCAGGTTGTGTGCACGAAACAAGAGTGCAACCAACAAAACCACGCCGCTGTATATCTCCCATAATCCCCTGCTCTTTAGCTTGGCATCTGCTGTGAGGATCTGGGATCGCAGGAGGTCCTTGGTGCCCGAGAAGAGGATGCCCAAAACAAAGACGTAAACAAAGCGAGCCTCCACTGTTCCCCTGAAACAGAAAGGTTAGGCCGTGTCATTTTTGCAGCTATAGGAACAGAAAGGTAGAATTGATTTGTCCTGACAAAAAAATCTCATTCAATATTCAGGTAATTGGAGTAAGTAACGCTGGGATGTGAACTCTTGACAGACTCTCTGTGTTTAGCTATTTCAGATATGTAGCTGAGGGCTTTGAGACACGGGGAAAGGAATTTAATCCAGGCTCTATTTACTGAGTGATAAAAGAAAAATACCTCATCAAAATACTGATCAGAATGCAAACCACTCAAATAAATAAAATGTGGCAGAGCTTAAAACCCTTAAAAACCCTCTTTGTGGAAAAGTCAGAATAGAATAATAATCAAAATGATGGAGAGGGTAACTTTCAGCAAATAAGAAATATGACTTTGGCAAGTTTCCTTCAGTAACCATAATTTCAAACATAGTAATAAAAAAGGCAAATAAAAATTGAGGGCAACATTCAAACCAGTGATGGGTTCGAGTGAGTTGCAGTGTAACGTGGATGCACACACATCAACCAGATCTTTTGATATATCAGGTTTTCAGAGTTCAAAACTTTAATTAATTTAAGATCCTCCTCTCTTGTTAAACAGGATTGCTCATATTTCTGTGACTCATAACCCTTCCTTCATTCAGCATGCGGTGTGTCAATGTTACATTAATTATTAAAGCCAGGAAACTGGAAGACAGAGCACATCGCCAGAGGAAAACACACTGTCTCACACACATCTTACTGTCAGTTGCTGAATAAGTCAGGAATTGATTATTAACGTTCTCTGAGAACATTTTAGGGTTAGGTCACTTTTATCCAAAAACGTTCCTTCATAAATGACACATAGCAACTTAAAACAATTACAATGGTGGGGAAAAATAAATCAAACAGCCTTCTCCTGATATTTACTTTGGGATTAAAATACAAGTTTGTGAAGGTGAAAATTTTCTTACTTTCACTTTGTCATTAATGACAAGCAGTATGCCGTGTCCCCGGTCATTGAGGGTTTTAAATAGTGAATGCTTTTAGTTTTTGAGATGAGTGTGTTACACTGTGTATAAGAATAGAGGTCTTTATTATTACACACAAGCAGCGAAGCGTTGTCGAACTGCGAAGTGTTGTCAAACTGCGAAGCGCTGTCGAACAGCGAAGCGTTGTCGAGCAGCGAAGCGTTGTCGAACTGCGAAGCGT